GTAGAAGAAAATTGGCAACTTTACAAGACAAAAGTACATATGCTTATCAATCGGCATATTCTACTCAGAACAGCCTTTGAAAATTCACAGTCACCCTGGTTTACTAGTGCCCTAAAACGCCTCTCCAAGAAGAAAAAGCGTTTATTTCGCGCTGCGAAATTCAGCACATGTGAACGTCGCTGGTCGAGCTATCGCACTGCTGTTGAAGTTTATAAAAAAGCAATTGAAGACGCCAAATTACATTTTTTCAGACGCAGCTTGCCAGCAATGTTGATAAATAAACCTAAACAATTTTGGAACATTATGAACAAAAAATCCGATCCTTCAATCACACTAATGCCTTCAAGTGGTGGAAGTATGCCTAGCGAAGTCTGCGCAAATGTATTTAATCGCGTTTTTATTGATTCTTTTTCAGGTGATAGACGCCTTGATACCCCACTGCTGGTTAGCACTGATTACTTGCCGATGGATTCAATTCCTCTTGATTATGTTGGAGTTATTTCAATTATAAAAAATCTCGGACTGTCCTCCTCAACAGGAGTGGATGGTATCAATTCAAAATTCCTTAAGAATACTAAATTTTACTCATCCATAATATTAACTATGTTGTTCGAGCAGTCAATCAAAGATGCCGTTCTTCCTCTCGACTGGAAGATAGGGAAGGTGGTACCTATACTCAAAGCTGGTAACAAGCATTCTTCTCATAATTACCGCCCAATCTCAATAACCAGCATACCTTGCAAGCTACTTGAGCATGTCATCTTCTCCCACATTGTCAACTTTTCAAAGTCTAACAACTTTTTCAGCCCCTCCCAGCATGGATTTCGAAAGACATTTTCATGTGAGACTCAGCTTCTCTCTTTCACCCATGACCTCCATTGCATTCTAGATCGAGGATCCCAGTCAGACTGCATTTTCCTAGACTTCGCATACGCGTTTGATAAAGTGACTTATACGCTTCTGATTTTGAGACTTTCCAAGCTTAACTTAGATTCTAACCTACTTGCATGGATTCAATCTTTTCTGTCTGATCGCTCGCAATTTGTTACTGTCAATAATAGTAACTCCTCTCTTGTATCCGTTACTTTCGGGGTTCCTCAGGGATCTGTTCTAGGGCCATTGCTATTTATTATTTATATTAATTACCTCCCGGTTAACATCTCCTCGTCTATGTGTCTGCTTGCTGACGACTGTGTCCTTTATCGTGAAATAATAGAAAATCATGACACCAGTGTTCTACAGTCCGACATTAACCCTAACATCGAGTGGTGTGATTTATGGTCAATGAGCCTTAACGCTAACAAATTTAAGTCTATGCGTGTATCTCGACAATCTTCTGACAATCCTAACAATTTTCTTGCTCAGGTTTATATGGAGCCGGTTTTCAACTTATAAATACCTAGTCGTGCACACATCTGACCTTTCATGGAAGAATCATATTCAGTATGTTTCCTCTAACGCTAACCGAATGTTAAAGGAGCTGTGCAACGATATTCAATTGGGATGTTTTTCTCTCTACACGAGCTTACTGGCACACCTGGGACTCAAGGATACTCACACGCAACGCCATTGGCCAAGAAACTCCTTTGTTGCGGTGTAATTTCAAGGACAAAAGCGATCATTTTCATTCAATCTCTCCTTTGCAAAATTTGATGACGTAACTCGGGGATCGCAGTACACCCAAGTGACGATATTTGAATGCGGTTCATACATTGGACCCGAGCATTGCGGGGGCACTCGACTTGGGCTCGTGACAATTGCTAGCTCGAGAAGCATTCGGGTTGTGACCCGCGTCCAATCGCTGCAACGACGACAACAGCCGAGCCATAACAATGTCTGGAACTCAGCGCGTGTCCTGCGCTTTGCCAACCCCAGCGCGTGGCTGTGATCAACACTAGCGGCATATAATCGGCTCCAGATCGCGTGGCCGCTTGTTCTGGCTACGAGTTGAGGGGGTGAACGCTGCTCGTTTGTCTTTAATATTTTTTCTGGGACTTCTATTGCGTGGGGTGAAGAACGAACGCGTGTTTCATAGGTCAATAACGTTAGGGATCCGTTTTAAGCGGTATTTGCGCAAAGTACAAAAATTGTTGCATAGCTCCTTTAAGTTATATTAAACAAAATTTTTCACTAGCTCCAGTTGCCCTAAGGTTGACTCTTTATAAAACATTAATTCGTCCAAGGTTGGAGTATGCAGCCTCTGTCTGGGATCCTGGACAAGTCACCCTCATCACTGCATTGGAAGCGATTCAAAACAGATCAGCTCGTTTCATCCTTTCTAATTGCCACAACACGGCTAGCGTGACTGCCATGAAAGCTACTCTATCATTGCCGCCTTTAGCCTTGCGCTGTTGCATTTCTCGCCTTTCTTTATTCCATAAGATTTATTTCCACAATTCTATCCTGCACGACAAATTAATATCCCGTCCTTTTTTACGTTTCTTCTCGCAACGATAACAATCACAAGGTTGGTATTCCAAGTTTTAACACAACAACATTTCATTCATCGTTCGTCCCTCGTACATCACGAGAATGGAACCACCTTCCCGGGACAATTGCCACCATCAGGGACTCTGACCTTTTCGAAACTGCAATTACTAATCTTTTATTTGTTGAGTGTGTTTGACCTATATCTAGGCTTGTTTTTTTTTCTGTATTTTTCTTTGCTCTCCCCCCCTGTAATGCCTCTGGCCTTGAGGGAAAATTAAATAAATAAGTCGTTTGTTACGAAACATTTTGCGCCATCTATGAGGAAAAGGCTACAAATCAATCCCGGGTGAATCTTCCTAGTGCCACCACCTAAATTGACAATGATATATGCAGGGAAAAAGATACTGAAGGCAATCACGATAGTCTCAACGATCAGCTGGCCTCAGCTGCTGCTGTAAATGTAGGCCTGGAAATGGGAGGGCGCAAGGTTAGCTGCCCTCTTCCAGAATTGAGGCCTTAAAGGTGGACTGAAGACGTTTCTGAGATTGTTCTTGGTGATAACTTATCTTACGGGCTCCAAGTATCCTAGGAATCCAAAAATGATGCTTTAGCGACGTCTCTTTCCCTACTAAAATGTGATACAAGTTTGTGCCATGGCCCTTTTTGAGCGGAAATATCGGGAGCGCAGAATCCAGAGGAGGCGCCGGCGTCATCTCCGCTGTCGGTGCGTCCCCTGAATTCTGCGCTCCAGATTTTTCCGCTCAAAAAGGGCCGTGGCACAAACTTGTATCACATTTTTAGTAGGGAAATTGACGTCGCACATGCATAATTTTTTTTATATATTTCTGGATTGCTAACATTCCGTAGAATAAGTTATCACTAAGAACCGACGATCTCAGAAACGTCTTTAGCTCATTTTTAACAAGCGCATTAAAATCTCGAAGCTTGGAGCACCGCGACCCGATGGGAAATGTATGATGCTATTTCCAGGAGTGGAAATAGCAGAAATGGTGCCCCCTCGAAGCAGTAAAAGTTCCGCTTTGGAGCGGCTCAGGAGCCACAAGAATAGAGTTATGTAGCAGTGCAAGTAAGTCTTAGAGCTCGTCACCCAGGTCAAACTTGTGGCTCAATGGTAATGAATGCCACGGAATACTTCGATACACAACTTACTGAAAGTACAGAAATCCTTTCGTCGACCCCTTTCAAGAGAAAGCGTCGATAGAGTCTACATGGTACCATCTTTCGTCGGAGAAAGAAGGGTGACTGCCCCCAAAACAGCGCGTCGCCTTTTTTTATGCACGCGGTACATTCAAGAACACCCTGAACTAGAACACGCGATGACAGCCTCGAATGGGCTGAATTTTTTTTTAGAAAAGCAAAGATTCAGTCGAAAAAAAATCTGGTCCAAATGGGCTCGAACTTTTTTTGGTCCGCGTCGCAGCAGCTTGCGTTCCCAACATCGCCACGGAAGCGGCAGAAACCTAGATTGTTTTTAGTTTGATATTGAAGGACCATGTAATTCTTTGCATTACGCGTGTAATGGCAAACGAGTTGAAGACCGCAAGTATATATTGAATTTTTTTTTTTGTAACTCAGATGTATCTTTTTTTTTCTTTTGTTTTTGCGTGCTGTAGACGAGTTTTTTTTTTCCCCGTTTAGTTGCTGATTTCCGCAACTAGACCATCATCTCTTGTACTGCTCTAAACCCTATGCCGCATAAGGAGCAATGAGTTTTGCTTCTGTCGCCCTAGCTGTAAAAGCCTGTAAGACACTTAGATACGACAATTAAAAAGAAACACAGCAACTTTGCCGTGGTTATTGTTCGTTTAGTTCAATTTCAAATGCAGACATTCTGACCGCTTAGCTTGTAAATGTAATAAACACCAGAGTATATCTCAAAACGGTTTCCTTCTAGTCCGTTTAACGACGCCATAAAACAAGCGAGGCAAGCAAGTGAAGGACCAAACAAAAGCTCCGGAAAACTAAATGACGCCATTCGAACACGGATCACAATCATATGAATATGAAACGGGTACACTTGGGGCTTGAATGTTGCGCATACCTATTATTACGAATTCCGCGTATCCTTAGATAAAAAAAAAATTAAAACAGCAACTCATTTACCATGGTTATTGTTCTTGGAGTTAAATTACGAATCGCAGAAATTGTAGCCGCTCAGCTTGCAAATGTAATCAACTCAAAAGTACATCTTAAAAACAGTTTCGTCCCAGCCCTTTTAACGACGCCACAAAACACGCGAAGCAAGCAAGTGGAGGACTAAACAAACGCTCCGGAAAACTAAATGAAAGCATTCGAACACGGATCGCAATCGTATGATTATGAAATGAGTATTCTTGGGGCTTGAATGTTGTACATACTTATTATTAGGATTCTGCGTATCTTTGACTGACGAACAACTTACGAGAAGCTATAATAAATGCGTGGATATCTATGGTTCCATTTGCTAAATATTCCGAAGGTTTCCACGATCGAAGAAGCTCATTGTTCATGAATGAATAAATACACACAATAAGGAACGTGGCAAAACAGACGATATTCCAGTTTCGATGATGCTTGCCGAAAAGGTTTTCTTCGTCGTGTTCGTTCTGCTGGGGGGGAATAGCATAGGCAATTCTGAAGATAGCGACATGAAGCTCGCCCAGGCCCAGAACCATTTTGCCCTCAAGCTTCTCAAGGAACTGTGCACCAAACACCAGGAATCGAACATCTTCTTCTCTCCGACCAGCATCTTCGTCGCACTCGCAATGGTCTACGCCGGCGCCAGGGGCAAGTCCGAAATGGAACTTTCCGCTGCTCTCGGCCACACCGCAGCGGGACTGTCCACCAGAAAATCTATACTGGATTCTTACAAAAAGATTCTGACAGAACAGCAGACTGATGACAATGTAAGCTTGATGATAGCCAATGCAGTCTTTGTGCAGAAGAACCTGAAAGTCCTCGAAAGTTACCAGAAGGAGCTCGCTGACACCTTTGCGGCAATGTTCCGGTCGGTGGACGTTGGGGCGGAAAACTTTGCCATGGAATCTGAGATTAACGAGTGGGTAAAGAACAAGACCAGAGGCAAGATCTCGGGCTTCAAAATTCCCTCCGACACCGTAGTGGCGCTGCTCAATGCCATTTACTTTAAGGGGATATGGAAGACCCCTTTCGAACCCAAATATACATCCCCCCTTCCTTTTTACAACAAAGGATCTGAAGAGGTTAAGGTAGAAACCATGACGAGAACCAGTATGGTACCGATCACCTTTGAACCCGACTTTGAAGCCATAGAACTGTCTTACAAAGGGGACGGACACTGCATGGTAATAATACTTCCACGTAATCATACTTCCAAGGCACTTGCCGAACTCCGGGACTCCATGACTCTCGAGAGCATAGAAAAAATTAAGGAAAGTTTGAAAAGAGAGTCTGTCACAATTCAGCTTCCTAAGTTCCACTTGAAAACGGAGTACGGTCTCATCCCTGCCTTGAAGAAATTGGGTGTGCGTTCAATCTTCTCTGACGCCGATCTGTCGGGAATCACTGGCGACGGAGGGCTGAGGGTAACCGACGTCCAGCACAAGGCAGCTATCGAGGTCAACGAAGAAGGCACGGTTGCTGGCGCAGCAACAGATGTGGTACTTGGAAGAATTCTTCCAACACGCTTCTTCGTGAATAGACCTTTCCTTTTCTACATCCGCGAGAAGGCAACCGGCCGTGTGCTATTTTTGGGAGAAGTGCACGAACTCCCAGCCGCTAAGGTGAAACCTGCCCTTCGTCAGTGCGATTCTGACCCAACATATGGCGATGAAATCGTCTTCCAGATCTAGGCACGAATGCAATAAATCGTGAGTGGTGGCACTGTGATACAGTGTGGTAATTGTCTTTCTCTTGAAATTGACATCCCTGGCCGTTCACTTCTTTCTCGGTGCACGTGCTTTCTGGGGAACGCGGCCTCGCTGCACCTGTTCTCGCGCAAATGAGCAGCTGCCTGCGCTATGAGCTCGCGTCTCCAGGGTATGTGGTCCGAACAAAACGTGGAAATCGTCCTGATCTAATGGCGACTCTTTTAATCCTAGTCGTCTAGTCTTTAATTAAAGCGCAAATGCAGCTGTGGTATGCTTGCAGCCTTGCGCTTGTTTTCACAGCTCCGGCTCGCTCACAGCGGGCATTCAGGCATCGTTCACCCACACGTCTGGGGCCATTTTTGTTGCTCGCGTTTCATTCCAAGCGGCACATGACAACCAGTGCAAATCAGGCTATTCTTGAACACATGTCGCCATTTGTGTTTAATATTAGGAAACTGCGACCTGCCGTAACTGAATGGGAAAATTTTGCGATTTGAATACTGAACCCCACTTGTAATCTTTCAATATTCAGTTTCTGCATATCTATCAATTTGCAGAAACTGCATATATATTAAAATATGAAGCATGAAAGTGCTTCATACTTCGAAGGCTTGTTATTTTCGTTAGTTGACATGATTCCGTTTTCATTGCACGAAAAATTAATAGTATTTTAAACTTTATTTTTTATTCAAAAATTCTCATGTCTGTGCAGCTCATTGCTTACTACCTATTTTAATTCACAATATCCAGCAGATCGCTCATGTAAATTATCGTGGACATTGAGAAATTATAAGTAGAAAAAAAATGCTTCGATATCAGAAACTGTGGTCTATTAAAAGTTAAATAATGAACTAACAAGTAAGAATAAATGTAATATCGACATAGTTGAGCATCGTCAAGAAATATTTATTTAATTTAAATCTAACTTCATGACTGTAGAATACATGAAAAGGAAGTTATAATCCGTCAAAAATGAAGCCGAACGGTAATGCATGGTGGAGTGGCACTATAAATAAAAAGCTCCTGGGTCGTGAGTGGTCTCTATCACTCTGTTTTTTGTGGGCTTACGAAAAGATTTGATATAACAGCATCATGTTGTTCAGCAATAGTGCAAGAAATTACCTATGTTAAAGCGCAACTCTGCTCAAATCAGAACTTTTAGTGTAATAACTGATTTTGCATTAAAATGCACTTACAAAAGGCACTATGTATTTGCTTTACAAAAGATGGGATATATATTTTTAAATCTTAGAATAAAATTGAGCAGATATCTAAACAGAAACTTCGGTTCCGTCTGGCAACGTTGGCCTCGGGCCGCCAAAAACATGGCTATTATGAAAGGGGAACAGCGCGAAAATAAACGAGGGACGAGTAGAAGAGGCAACGACAGGCACGGCACTGACTGGCAGCTGAAAATTTATTGGTGCACAAAACACGAAATAAACAACAAAAACACATAAAAAAAAACGTCACAACGGTTCCACGTACATGCTCATCTGTGATTTAACGAACTCGCCACAAGTCATGATAAAGTTCACCTCTTCATTCTTCAGAGCTAAGGACGGCGCACTGACGCAAGCTTCCTCTCCTTTCGCAGATATAAAAAAATGCGTCGTCAATTTCCCTCAGGCTTTGATTTCTGTGGCAGGCTAAAATTGTTATGTCATGGAAACTTGGCTCACAGCCACAACGGCTACAATGAACTGCAAATTGGCCAGAGGGGGAGAAACGGAGGGAAAGGGAATGTTCCCTCAGCCTTACATTTATACACCTGCCCGTATGTCCTATTCAGGCTCTGCCGCACGAGAGAGGGATCTGGTAGACAACCCCTGTGTGCACACGTGACATGAGGGGTGCGGTGGTTGACGTCACGGGCCACTCGAGGGAAACCGCGTCTATTCACAGAGGTGCACAGTCGGGACAGCTTATGGGGCACGGAGAAAACAACGGGCGCATGAACCTTATTGGCAACGCGCTTAACATTGTGGTACGGGGTGTGGACATACGGCACAACAACTGGGCTCGACGCTGGTTTTGTATACACACTAAAAAAAAGGTTTCAAAGGAGAGTAAGCGCCTTAACTTACTCTTTTTTAACTCTCTCTCTCTTCATCAAAGTTACTCTTTCGCGACCGCTTCTTTCAATGATACTCTCCCTTAACCCTCCCTCGATCTCGAGAGTAACTGTAACGAAAGTTAGTTTCTCCTCGCGATATCACGGGCTGTCAACAGATGGCGCCGCTATGGGGTCGGCGCTATAGTTCCTGTATAGGCTCCCTACGGGAGCCAGAGTTGCGCGTTCATGCATGGCATGTGGATACAGCTCCTCACGTGGCTGAATTCGGCGAATAGCAACGCCGCGCGTTCGAGGCGCGCTCAAAAGCCGGGGAACGTACCCCGGGGCGCGTGCAACGTTTACTTTGCTGCACGACACTCGATACCGCTCCTCACGTGATCGGATCTCGGCGAATAGCGGCGAGGGCGGCACGCGGCACGTGGAATCAAATGCGCAACTCTGGCTCCCGTAGGGAGCCTATACAGGAACTCTAGTCGACGTTAGAGTTCCTCGATATGCTTCCCCGAAGGGGGAGCAGAGTTGCGCATCTGTTTTCCCCTCGCCGCCACGCCGCTATTCGCCGAGATTCATAACGTAAAGAGCAAACCATAAGGCGCCGCGCAAGAAAGCCACCTTTACGGTCGCTCCGCCGACGTTGCCCCGGCGTATATTTCCCTTCTTTCGCCTCCTTCTCCTCCTGTCCTGTTTTCCATGCGCGGCGGCGCGCGCAGCGCCGCTATTCGCTAAATTTAGTCACGTGAGGAGCAAAGCATCCAGGCCGTGCAGGAAAGCCGGCGCCACGGCCACCCGCCGAGGCTGAATGCGCAACTCTGCTACCGTAGGTATATACAGGAACTCTAGCCGGCGCATGTTCGACGCTGCTCGGCGCAAATATTTTTTTCTTTTTCTCGGGGAGGCCTTTTTTTTCTATCCGCTTTCTTTCTTTCTTTCTTTCTTTTTTTTTTTTGGGGGGGGGGGGGGTGAAGAGATGAACAAGGATGTTTTAATAAGTGAGTTGGTACAGCCTGCCTTGACGGGTCTACATTTCAGTATTTATTAACTTAATTATTACCTGCGGCAGGGAGATTATTGGAGCGGGGACACTACTTTATCCAAGCAATAAGCACTCAAGGTTTTTGCTACACAGATGTGTCAAACAATAAACATATAGATCAGTGTGTAAACGGGTGTATGAGCGGATGCTGACGCGAGTGTGCGATTATGTTTCGTCACATAGGTGCCGGGTTGCTATGTAGCCCAGAGATGTTTTTTGGGGCCTTGCTCTATTTTTGGGGGCTCGTTTCAAGTTACTGCTGAGCCCGACCTCACTGATCGCAAGAACAGGTATATATATATATACAAGAAGTATTTCTTACACATCCGCATCAAAAGGCAAGCAAAGAGGAAAACCTCCCTCCGTGACGCAAGAGGGCGGCTTCGCGCGGCCTATCGTACACGCCACGTGACGACCATTTCATAAAGCGTCGCCCTAAAGATGGCGTTTGTTCCGAAGCCACATATAGGTTCAAACAACCTATACATGGCGGCAAGCCAGGTTCACGGTACGCGACACTAGGAGCTTTCTTATCTTCCCCGCCGTAGAGAAACTAAATGACGGAGGCAGAGCGTTTGGAAAAGTTGTTGGCGATGATTTCGAAACTTGTGATGCGGTCTTTGTTTTGAGTCATTAAATAAACCTGGCTTGACGACTATGTTTTTTTTCAAACTTTACACTTTACTTTCCGAAGCGCGAGAGCCCGGAAGTCTTCTGCTCTGTTCAAGAAAAGCTCTGGGGGGTTAAACCTTTTAACTGTGCACAGTTTGCTACACCCCTAACTGTTTTAACCTCGCTCTCCGAAGCTCCCTTGGCAGGAAGGTTTTCGATATAAGGGAACATTCAAGACCGCTGCTCTTTTCCGCTGCTCATCAAAGAGTTCGTAATGGACAGCGGAAGCACCAAGTAGCATTCCGGATATCGATATTTGTGGTACGGATCTGACCGGCTTTAAATATAGATACATTAGTGTGGATTACAGAAGTCTTGTCCAACAGAGCCACATTTAAAACTGCCACTGACGCGTTCACTTTACGTTCATTTGATTCTACACTGTAAGCAATACCTCAATTATTTTGGGAAGAACGTAGACTGCTCTATGTCGTCTTACGATATGTTAAAAAGTATGCTAAGCTTCTTATGTTCGATGTCTCCGAGGTACGAAGCACTGACGACAGAAGCTCAGTTAAGATGAATGAGCGGAAATGTCTATATATTATGTAACTAGCGGTAGCTTCCTCAATCCCTGGCATTTGAAAAAGCCTGTGTCTAGAGTGCCGTGGTACTCTTGCCGAGCGTTCGATTGCCGACGTCCGACGGCACTCTAAGCACGCTTTGGAGTGCCGTCCGAAGGCCCTAAATGGGCTGCACAGAAGGCGTGAGTCAGCGCATCCCGAGAAGCAGAGCCCGCCGCATCCGTGCGCGGAAGAAATCCGATTTACAAAAAAAAATGTTTTCACCGTCGAAGTGCTTCGGAAGTGGGGGAAGTGTCGCAGGCGGCAATTTTGAGGATTCAGAGGAAATTAGAGGGTAAATAAATTTAGACGAATTTGGAAGATAAACAAATTTGTCTGTACGAGACAGCCAAATTTACTTATAAGCTCGGTCTTGGTACCAATCCAGCCAGCTGAAAGTTGTGATGTGGAAATATTATGAACGTTAATTTGTTATCCTGTGTGTTTCTTAGTTACCAAATCGTCAACAAACCAGCACCGACCAACCAGCTTTCTTACGACGCAAATATTTTCTTGAAAAACCTTCAGGGATATAAATAAACACAAAAACGATATTGCGTCAATGGGCATGCTGCGGACACTCAAGTTCGTCAATCTTTTTTTTTTTTCTTTTTTTTTTTACGGAACATGAGTGCAGGCTGGGTGCAAGATGCGCAAAGAACAAGCGAGGCTCCCGTTGAATCCGGACTTCCTTGGACTACGGCCTTCGGTTGCACACGCTGTCCTCAGTTGCCACACCATGCTCCCTCCCTCCCCTCATAATTCCGGGCCTTTAGTCACTGTCCCCCGTTTAATGGATCGGGGACTTTATCCCCCGTAAGCTGATATCGCGGTGGAAACTGCGTGCTTGTTAGACCGTTTGACTGTCAGTCTCGCACCACGTGATCACCCCTT